GCGGGGCGCCAGACCTGCCACAAGACGCGAGCGGCGCACAAATCTGCTGCGGGGCCACAGGGGCTCAAAAGGAGGCACAAGAGAAACAGCAGCAGAAGGAACCAAAGAAACGCAGCCCCACACTTCTGCTGCTGCTGCTGCTGATGATGCGCAGCTCGGTGCTGATGCTGCTGCTGCTGCTGCTGCTGGGGGGAGGATGGAAGGGGGAAGGGAGCAAGCGTGGGTGTCTGGAGTGCATGCAGCCATTAGCTGCCACACATCAGCTTCTATGCCTACACAGCAGCAGCAGCAGCAGCAGCAGCAGCTACTCAGGCAGCAGGAGAATCGGTGGCAGCAGAAGCAACTGCAGCGAAAGCAACAGCTGCTGCTGCAGCGTCAGAACGGCTGCGGTCTAGCAGCTGTACTTGTGGTCCCACGAGCAGCCAAACCCTAAACGCTAAACCCTAAACCCTAAACCCTACGTACCCCGCTGAATGCCTTGGTACTTGAGATGAAGCGCTGCGGTGGTTCCATACCACAGTGAGAGCTTCAGAACGCAGTCTGCAGCACCAAAACCCTAAACCCTAAACCCTAAACCCTAAACCCTAAACCCTAAACCCTAATCCTGGCCTCGCTGCTAGACCCTAGAGCCTAAGCCGGCTCACCACAATTCGTATCCACTCTCCATATGCCACGTAAAGAATCCAGGCACTCAATCCTCACGCTGCTGCTGCTGCTGTTGCTTCTGCTGCTTCTGCTGCTGCTGCTGTTGCTGCTGCTGCTGCTGTTCTCGTGCCGCAAAGAGCTGCTGCACCCAGAAGCAACGATAAACGTCTGCGGGGGTGGGACCCCACAGCTGTTGTCTCGGGTTTCCTTTGCTTCTGCTTCTGCTGCTGCTGCGTGTGCTGCTGCTGCTGCTGCTGCTGGTTCTTCATGAGGCAGCCACGCCAAAGCTTCGCTCCAAAGCTCCTCTATGGATTTGACACTAGTCTGTTGCTGCTGCTGCTGCTGCTGTGGCGTTTGCTGCTGCTGTGGAGTTTGCTGCTGCTGTGGCGTCTGCTGCTGCTGCTGCTGCTGCGTCATCTGCGGGGAGTGCTGGTGTCTGTGTTGCGTTTGCGGCGAGTTGTGTGGTTGCTGCTGCATCTGCTGCTGCTGCTGCTGCTGCAGCAGCGGGGGCAGCGCATGCACGGGCAGCCTCAGCACGAAGAGCAGCGCAGTGCGAATAAACTCCCCGTAATGAAAGGGCGTGGGATCGTCTTCGAAGCCCCTGGGATCGCACGATCCCATCGATCCCCACCTCCCCCTGCCGCTGCCGCTGCTGCTGCTGTTTCTACTGCTGCTGCTGCTGTGCCAGCCCCAGCCGGGGCGCAGCCCCAGGCCCGCTGCGAGCTGCTGCAGCACGGCGTCGACGGGCGCATGCATGCAAACAGCAGCAAGGGGGTCGAGGGGGGTTTGCTGCAGGTTGACAATGGCAAGTGCTGCTGCTTTGCTTCTTGCTGCTGCTGCTTTGCTTCTTGCTGCTGCTGCTGCTGGAAAGTGACAAGCTGGCTCTATTTGCAAACTTGTCCCTAAACAAAGATGAAAAGGAGACTCTCGAGAATAAAAATTCGACTGAGACAAAAAGTGTCCCTCGTACGCGTCGAACCAGTCCAGCAGCACGTCCGTGCACACCCCCCGCGGCGGAAAGCTGCACAGCCCTGCAGCAGCAGCAGCAGCAGCAGCAGCAGCAGGGGTGGAGAATGCGAGGATTGAGGGGGTTTGAGTGCAGGTGCTAGTGGGAAGGGGAGGTGTGCATGCAGCGGAAGGAGAAGTCTTTAAACCGCTTTTTAGCAACTATTTTGTTCAGCAGAGTTGAAGAAGGGTTTGTGTTCTTGAGGGTTTAGGGTTTGCGAGCGCTTAGGGTTTGCGAGGGTTTAGGGTTTGCGAGGTTTGAGATTTGCGAGGTCTAGGGTCTGCGAGGGTTTAGGAGGGTTTGGGCTTTGCGAGGGTTTAGGGTTTGCGGCCGTTTAGGGCTTGCAGGGTTTGGGACTCTGCGGGTTTATTAGGATTTACTGCTGATTAGGGTTTGCTGCAGCAGGTTAGGCTTGTGGGCGTGGTTTAGGGTTTAGGATTTAGGGTTTAGTCTTCTGGCTAGGGTTTGGGGCAAGCTAGGGTTTGCTGTCTCGGCTAGGGTTGGCCTGCAGAAAAGGGTTTAGGGTGTGCAGCGCGGACTAGGGTTTAGGGTTCAGCGGGCCGCTCCCTCTCCGCGCGCCGCCTAGGGTCTAGGGTTTAGGGTTTAGGGTTCAGCGGGCCGCTCTTCGCGCGCCGCCTACGGTTTAGGGTTTAGGGTTTAGGGTTTGGCGGACCGCAGAGCCTCCCAGTGGGTCGAAAAGAAAGAGTTGGCAAAGGATAATCCCTCAAAAACCTCCTGCTGCAGCTGTCACACTTTTCTGCAAATAAACTCCCATGCACTGCAGCAACTCGCTGCAGCGGGGCCCCACACCTTTCGTGCAGCGCATCCACATTTTGCGTTATTATCAAGTCCACCAGACGGACCCAGGGGGGCCCCCCGGGGGCCCCCTCGGGGGCCCCCCCCGGG